AATCGAAAAATATATAGAATATTAATTAGTTTTTTTTCCATATTATTTTTATAATAAAATATATATCATTGTTTTATATAAAATCACTTTATTAAAAAAAATTAATATTATAAATATATATATATATTATTTAAAATAATAAATTAATTCTATTAATATATATAAAAAATATCATATTCCATAATTCATAATTAGGGCGCCGGCCAGGCGCCCGTAGCATGCCTAGAGGGCCTTCGGTGATAGCGGAAGGTTAAGGTTATTTAAGGGCTTACGCCCGACAGCCGGCCAGGGACCCAACCAAGCAGAGGGGAGGGGGCAGGGAAAAAGGGCACGGGGGCGTTGTTGTTGTTGGTGCTGTTGTTGTTGTTAGCCAAGCAGCCGCCCACGATGCAGACGAAGCACTCCGGCGCGGCATGCATTTCCAGCATTATTTAGGCCTATAATAGACCATGGAAACCCATCTTAAACCACAAAAGCCGGAAAATAGAAGAAGCAAAAAATACTATAAAACACACGATTCTGCATTGGGGCGGGACTCCATTAATTTGTATTAAATTTATGTTAGACTTATATTGGCGTATATTGAATTATTTGGGAGGTTATGTTAGGAATATGTTGCTTATATTGAAGATATGTTAAATCGTTTGGCCCTTTTGTATTTCTAGAATAATCGATATTATCCTTTTAAAATACTTGGCCGTGTCCTTATTGTAGGCGTCTCTCCGCCCCAACTTAGCCCATTCCAAAATAAAACACAAAAATACATAAACTACAAATCATTAAACAAACAAAACAAAACGAAAACCACAACTTAACCCAATTCAAACTACGCATAACATAAATCACATAAGCCCACACCAAAAAAAAAACGACAAATAAAAAAAAGAAAAAAAAATAACGAATCCCAACCCTACACATACCCAAATAAACCGACGCCCGACTATTAAACATAAATCTCTAATTATTTTATAAATAAATAATACCATATATATAGAATATAAAAAACAAAAATAATATATTATATAATAGACATTTAAATCAAAATAAATATTTCTAAATATATTATACATTTTCTAATTATAGAACATTAATATTATCTCCATTTTTAAAATATAAAAAACACATATATTCTATATACAATATTATTTTTGAATTTAAATATATATAAATATAAAATTACTAAAAGAAAAAAATAATCAACACCCATACATTAAATTATATATTTATATTTATTTATATAATATAATATTCCTTAAAATTATATATAGTATTTTTTAAAATATACTTCCGCATCTTTTTCAAATATCCATTATTAATTCAAAATATTACAATAAAAACATACAAAAACAATAACTTAAAATAATCCATACCCTTTTCGACTCCCTTAACACATGAATATTTTATCAAAATTATGCAAAACACCATTTACACTTTCCATATTTAAAAATATTTTAAATTACTTCAAAAAATTGCACGAAAAGCAAAAAATATAGAAATATAATAATAATAAAATACAAAATAATATTAGAATCGAATCAAATATAAATTCAAAAAAAGAAATACATATTAAATATATAAAAAAATATATTACTTATATAATAATCATCAATAATAAGAAGGCCTAAAAATAACATATTATGTTTCTTCATAGATTCCAACATTACCCCAAGCTTCGAATATTCAACACCAAATTACCATCGAGGTGATCTACTTCGGAATGAAGCGATCAAGAGGCTGTTCATGGACTCAAACACTACCCCAAGCTCAGAGTGCCCAACACCAAATAATCATCGAAGTGATCCACTTCGGGATAAAGCGGTCAGGGGGGAGAGGGGGGGGTTGGATTGAAAACTTAATTCCAAGAGGGGGTCTATATTGAAAAATAAATTCGAAGGGGGGGAAGGGGGGGTTGAATTGAACTATCAATTATTAGACCCGGAGGAGCTGACACTCGCAAAACAAACTCAAGGTATCCCCTCAAGGGTTTACCTTTCCTGACTTGTATGTAATTTATTAAATCGAATCCACCTCAATATTTTGGTTCTGACCAATTTGCGGAGTTCTGGTGCTTGGGCTTGCACTGGCCCTCTCGCCTAAATGGCTGCTAGAACCGCAAAGGGACGATTGTGTTTGTTGATCAGAAGTTGGGTTTTGGGCTTCCGCCAAAACCAGGTGGGGGGGTTCCATGGCTAAGGTTGTCACAGGCGGAAGTTCAGAGAAAGAAACAAAAAACAGAGGGTTCTGGTGCACTCGTTTTGGAAGCTTCAGCCAGGCCGACGAGCTCAAGTTTCCACAGGGTCGACAGGCATTGCGCATCTCCTTGGAGTGTTTGTGATGTGTTTTTTCTTCTGGCTGTCATGCGGTTGGCTTCCACTCTTCTCTCATCTTCTGGTAACGTTCAGCTTGGACCTTGCAAAGCGCAAAGCTTGGGGCCGCCAAAATCTGCAGGCTCACTGGATCTGTGTTGTGGGCGTGGATTTCACGCATTTTTTTCTGCTGCACGCATTGTGGTGTGTGACACTAATCCGAGCTTTATTCAATGCAGTTGTTTCAACTGTTTTCGACAGGGTTAGGTTTTGTTTGTGCATTCCTGACTTTCTGTCCTTAGAGCTGTTTTGTCGTTTTGAGACTTCTGCTTGAACTTCGCCATGGCTTGGTGCTTGGTGGGCTTGCAGCGATTTGCTTGGGCGCGCCCCCTGAGCAGAATTGTGCAGTGCCACTGCTTTTGCTCTTCATAGCCTCAACTTTTCTAGGTGACGTTTGGCTTCGACCTTGCAACGCGCCGCAATAATCAAAAAAACGCGTCGCTAATCGGAGCGAAGACCAAGAACAAGAAGTGAAGGCAAAAGAAAACCAAGCTAGCAATGAAACAAAGGTGAAAAAAGATGCAGAACCGCGATGATGCAGCGTTGCCGCCGCAAGTCATAAAAGCACAGTTGCACAGCCATCTCTAAAAGGGTTCAGCCACAGCGCAAGTTGCTGGTTGCAACGCGCTCTCTTGCAGAAAGGGCCGGTGCTCAAGCATCATGCCAACAGGTTTGGCATCAAGTGCTGGCATCACTGAGGGCCAAGGAAGGCCAAAGAGCATGCCAGCTTGAAGACAGTCAAGTCCGCCTCTTCCAAACAATCCGAGAGGCGTATGCTGGGTTCAGCTCCGCGAGAAGTACCATCCCTATCTAAAGGACCTGTTGCTCTTCGACAGGAACAGGTGGCAACAGCAGACCGCCTGCTGGTAGACAAGGTCCTTCAGACAAGGATTATCCCGAACAATCTCTCGGGATCAAGCTCTGTGGTTTGCCTTGAAAGAGGGCGAGATGTGGTTGGTGGAAAGGGCACCATACGGCCTGATAGAATCCCCAAAGCTGTGGGGAAGACTACAGGGACATTGAGATCGTCAAACGTTCTTTCTTTCTTTCTTTCTTTCTTTCAGAGAGAACTTGTGACGAAAGGACATGACTGAGGACTCAACAGTGGAAGGTCTAGTGTTGGTCTACGTCGATGATGTCATGATCTTCAGCAACAAGGAGGTTGTGGGCCAGGGGCTCCAATCTTGTCGACAAACCTGGGAAACTTCTGTCCGAAATTGTGGTCTGGAGATCAGTCGAGTGGAGAATAATTGTGACTTCTTTGCCAGTCAGTGTACCTACCTCAAGGAAGTCCTACGATGGCATTCCATGGACGATGTGGATAGCACTCAGGTCATGAGGTCATGTCAAGAGCCAGAAGATGAACTGGACAAGGACATGATGCCAACATGATGCTGGATTCGGTGAGCGATGCATCTTTTGCTCCCAGTGGCGCGCATAACCATGTTTGTGTCATCAGCACTGTCGACGGCAGAAGCCGAGTTGATCAAGGTGATTGAGGCGGTGGTTGTGGGAGATTGACTGTGTGGTTGATGACTTGACTGGAGGTCGCCAAATACCTGAAATGCGACAACACAGCTGCGGTGTCGATCGCAAGCAGTGCGTCTGGGGCTTGGCGAACAAGGCATCTCAAGGTCAGAGCAGCCCACTTGAAATGGAAATTGGCATGAAGGTCCTTCCTGCAGCTCGATGGGCTGGGAACCAAGCAGCGTTGACGCGGTTGAAGGGCTATGCAGCGGACGCGCTATCACCTGGAGAACGAAACTCGCTTGGTCGTGGTCCTCAGTGCGCTGCAGACGGCTTTGGTACGATGCGAGAGAACGGCGCAGCGCAAACTCCGAGACCGTTGACGAGAAAGAAGACGACTTCATCCTGATCGATGGCCTTCGGCGTGGTGATGATGTTGGTTGGCATGTGTATAGAGGGCCACTGGAGTGCTCCTATGATGCCTCTGAGTATCGTTCGCTGCTTCTCTGTCGCTGGTTGGTCGTTGGGGCCTTCTTCAAAGCTGATGGGCTTTTGGATTGAGAGGTAGGTGGTGTGAAGCAGTTCGTAGTGGTGTTCATTCATGCTGTGGATTTTAGCTCCACAGTATTCGATGTCCTTGTCTTGCTCCCATGTTCGGAAGTTGAATGTTTTCTTCAGAGCGGTGATGAACTTGTTGAAGTAGGTGTTGGACATGTTACCGCATCCAAGGATGTCATCGACGCGGAGGCCGAACAGTCCGACCAATGGTGGATGCTTGACCTGGTTGCCATTGTCATCAGTCTGGCTGGTCCATGTGGTCTCTTCTGCGTCACAGTCGTAGACCAGGAAGCAGCATGGGTCCAAAGGGTGGACTATTGCACCAAGCTTTGTGATGCGTTCTCGAGCCTCACTGTACCACGCTGGAGAAACTTCGGCAGGGCCACTTTTTATTAACTTGGCGAGGACGTCCCTCGTTCATCAGGGAAAGGCAGCCTCCCATAAGCTCCTCCAACTCGGCAATGGCCTGGCAGAAGTTGTCTGCGCAAAGGTTGTGGGGCAATCTAGCTGTTGGCTGCTTGGAACCCAATAGCAATGGCCTCCAACCGAATAGGATGGCCTCCAACCTACAACCTAAAAGCGATGGCCTCCAACCTACTAGCGATGGCCCCCAAGCTACTAATAATGGCCTCCTACCTACCAGCAATGGCCTCCATCCAATCGAAAAAACAATGGCCTCCAGTTTAATAGCGGTGGCCTCCAACCTGACAGCGATGGCCTCCAACCTGGCAATGGCCTCCAACCTAATAGCAATGGCCTCCAGCCAGCCCAATAGCCATGGCCTCCAACCTAGTAGCAATGGCCTCCAACCTGCCAGCGATCTCCAACCTAACAGCAATGGCCTCCACACACCTAATAGCGATGGCCTCCAATCAAATAGCAATGGCCTCCAGCCCAGTAGCGATGGCCTCCAACCTACTGGCGATGGCCTCCAAGCTTATAGGGATGGCCTCCAATAGCGATGGCCTCCAACCTAATAGCAATGGCCTCGAACCTAATAGAAATGACCTCCAACCAAATAGTGATGGCCTCCTGCCTGCTAGCGATGGCCTCCAACCTAATAGAAATAACCTCCAACCTAGTAGCAACCTAATAGAAATGGCCTCGAACCCGCAAGCGATGGCCTCAAACCTACAAGCGATGGACTCTAACCTGGTCGCGATGGCCTCCAGCCTAACAGCAATGGCCTCCAACGTAAAGACTTCCAACCCAATAGACATGGTCCCAACCTACGAGCGATGGCCTCCAGCCTAATAGCGATGGTCTCCAGCCTAATAGCGCTGGCCTCCAATCTAATAGCAATTGCCTCCAACCTACCAGCGATGACCTCCAACCTAAAAGCCATGGCCTCCAACCTAATAGCCATGGCCCCCAAGCTACTAGCGACGGCCACCAGCCTAGCGATGGCCTCCAACCTGCTGGTGATGGCCTCCAACCTATACTAGCGATGGCCTCTACCTACTACTAGTGGTGGCCTCCAACCCAAACTAGCGATGGCCTCCAACCTAAAAGCAATAGCCTCCGACCTAATAGCGATGGCCTCTAAGCTAAAAGCGATGGCCTCTAACCTAGTAGCGATGGCCTCTAAGCCAAAAGCGATGGCCTCTAACCTAATAGCGATGGCCTCCAACCTAATAGCAATGGCTTCTAACCAAATAGCAATGGCCTCCAACCTAATAGCAACGACCTTGAACCTAATAGCGATGGCCTCCAACCTAATAGCAATGGCATCCAACCTAATAGCAATGGCCTCCAGCCTAATAGCGATAGCGTCCAGCCTAATGGCGATTGCCTCGCAATGGCCCCCAACTGAATAGCAATGGCCTCCAACCTAATAGCAACGACCTTGAACCTAATAGTGATGGCCTCCAACCTAATAGCAATGGCCACCAACCTAATAGCCGCTTGAAACATGCTGAATGTGGCTTTGGCCCTCGTAGTAACATTTGCTAGAACATCTTGGGTGTGCTATTTGCATCACTGGAAGGATCAAGCTTTTTCTGCGCATTTGTCACGAAGGCAGTGAGGAGAAGCTTGAATTCGAGATGTCAGTATCGCTCAGGTGGATGTTGCAACAGGTTGATCGGTTGGGAGGAGGAATCTCTATAAAGCGACGTAGCTGTGGCAAAGAATTGCAAACACTAGAATTTCCACAGCTTCCGACGCTCGTGCACTGTCTGTCTTCCCACCTGATGAAAGCTTGATACTTATCTCATTGATAAGGTGCCGGCCATGGGTATGCAAAGACCTGAAAGGTCTTGGGTGGCCACCATCCAGCTTCAGGCAAATACATGTCGTAGCTAGCTGTCTCAGGTGAACACCCACCAGCTTCACCTCGACACAAGTTGCGGCAAAGGCGCCTCGTTGTGAAACCTGACATGTGGATTTTGTTTTAAATGTTTTTCCAAAGTCGTCCAAAAAAGAACCGAACAGCCTTGAACCTGTGCTGCAATGAGTGGACGTTCCTAGACTGTGTGTGCCTAGACAGTGTACACAATTTGAAGAAACAACCCTTTCACCCCGCTCATCCCGGCCGCTAGGATCGCAGAACTGTTGGCGCCCAAGCCCCTCACTCTGCCCACAAACAAAGAACACACACTCTCTGGGCAAATCCATTTAGAATCCTCGTGTCGCGCTCCTGACCACTTGATTCGCAGGTTAGATTGCGGGAACTTGGGGGGGCCACAATTTCTCAAAGCCACGGAGGGTTTGAGCAACCTCTAAGAAGCCATCCTGTAGTGCCAGGTGCAGGGCCGTTTCGCCCCGGCAGTTGGCGTTGTTCACCTGACATCGAAGGGGAGAAACTGGAGTGAACATGATTTGTTTTTCTTTGCGGAAGTATCGACACCACTAGGAGCAAAGCGCTATCTTCAGTGGAATTTCCCCTGATTTTTGATGAGCAGCTCTACCAATACCAAGTTCAGTGTGACGAGAAGCAGAAAAACATTGGAACAAAGGAAATCAAACAAGGTCAAAATAAACACAAAACAGAGAAAAACCAATGGCACTTTCTGGCCCTTTTCTTTTTTAGTCGTTCGGCTTCGAGATGCCAGGTGACCGGTGCTTGGGCTCGGAGCAGGAACTTCACCACTTCCAGGCGTGCATAGGCCGAGGCCAAGTGCAAAGGGGTGTTGCCGAAGATGTTGGTCGCTGCGACCTGGGCGCGGAGGCCGTCTATAGTAGGTTGGAGGCCATAGGCTGGAGGCCATCGGTAGCAGGTTATTTGGAGGCCATCGCTAGGTTGGAGGCCATCTGTGAAGGGTCCTCTTTGTAAAAGGTAAGCTTCTCTAGTTTTTCTAGCGCGCGCACGTGCTTTTGGCTCAAGACCGAAGCCCCGCGTTGCCTTAGAAGCCCTATAGAAAGAGCCAATACCCAGTGCCTGACGTTGAACTTCGAAACCCTCTAGAAAAAGGTAGCTACGAAAGGCACCCTACGGCCAGATGCCGATGGACCACGCCAAAACCCCGCAAGAGCCTCGCCAAAACCTTGGTCGCCGCAGCAACTCCCTGGCGCTTGAGGTTTCAACGAACGGAGTATAGGGAGCGACCGCGCCAGTGCCTGACGTTGCCTTCGGAGCCTCTATAGAAAGAGGTGTCCAGCACGAGCGCAAGCAACCAGGACAAGCCCCAACTAGCTGCGAAAGGCAGCCTACGGCCAGACGCCGATGGACCACGCAAAAACCCCGCAAGGACCACGCCAAAACCTCGGTCTCGCCACAGCAAAACACCCTGGCCCTAGAGGTTTCAACGAACGGAGTAGGGAGCGACTGTTGCCAGTGCAGGATGTTGCCAAACCCTCTAGAAAGAGGTGTCCAGGACAAGCCCAGAAGCAGAGCAGGTAGGAGCTCCTTTAACGAAAGGGACCAGAGGGCCAGAGCCAAGTTGGGTAGATTGGCGGCCACACGGCCTGCCCAGACACTACACACATGATACCACAAATCATCCCGCTCACCAGCGACGCGCCGCGTTTACGCCCTGACTTCGACTGCTTCCCGGCCCTGTGTGGAAATAGCCCCTGAGCCTGAGCAAGCTGCAGCTGTAGTGTAGAACTTACAGGCTTTCTCGCGCTTTGCCCTCCATCCTTTTCGTGTTCCTTCCCGACCCTTGGCCCCTTGCTTTCCATCTTCATTCTTTGCCAACTGTGTCCCTCCTTCCTGGGCTTCCTTCTTCCGTGTCCTTCCATGGCCTCCATTCCAGACCATACAAGGCTTTTCCATGAGCGCTTCCTTGGCCGTGGTCGTCGCCGCGCTTCCTTGATGACGGCCGCCCTTCTCGAGCGCGCCAAGTTCCAAGCCGAGTACGTCAACCGAAGCGGAAGCTTACCACAGGTTTCCCAGGACAGCCCCTAACCGCAAACAAAGTCCCAAAAGAACCCGCGCGTCCGCCGAACGTGCCTGGCTACTCCTTTGTCGCGCCGATTGAGTTCTGGCTCGCTCCGACACCCAGCATTCGCATTCGCAAGGCTGGCCTTCTGGTGTTTTGCGCTTGTTTTGGGATGCGTCCACGCGCAACAACCGAAAAGACCGTCGTGCCGCAGTGTGGGTTCTGCCCTGCAACGCCATTGGCACGCAAAATTTTTTTGCCGCCCGCTTGACACTGTGCTCCGTACTCCTTGTTTGCAGAAAGGGTGCGTATACCGGCCGCGTCACGCGTGGTGTGGTGGCACTGCCCGACAGTCTGCCGCAACCATTTCTTCGTGTTGGGGTGGCTGTGTCACTGTCGGACATGATCAGCGCAAGGACTTCCGCCGCGAGCGCGTCGCAGCGTTGCGAGCCGTTTGCGCTCTGCGCCGCGGCGCGCACTGCCGCAAGCCGGACGCAACCGGCGTTAGCCCATTCTGTTCATTTGAGCATTTCTGCACGTGGTGTACACGTGGAAGTCACTTTGCGGAAGCTGATAGAAAAGAGTTGGAAAAAGCCATGGGTTGTGAGATTGACCCTTTTACTTCAAACAGTGCTGTAGAGATTGTGCAAGCGCGGGGGTTTGTAGAGAAAGGAGGATTCTAGGAATGCGTTGGGCACTCAACCTATTCAAGATGAGCATGGAAACCAGGTGGATAGACAAGCAAAGGCTCGTTTGATTTTGAAGGGTCATCAGGACCCTGTACTTCTGTCTGGGCCTTGGGAAAAACACAATTTTGCCTTTTGCAGATCAAAGAAGGTTCAAGGTGTACTTAGGAGACATCAAAAACAGCGTATTTGAACGGGGACTAAGCTGAGTTGAAATGACACATTTGGGCTGAACCTCCTGAAGAAGTTAAACAGCGTGTGAACATGAAGCTTCATGAGCTTTGGAGGGTAGCGAAAGCCGTTTACGGCTTTCGCCATGCTCCTCGAAACTGGTTTGAGAAGCTTCCATTTAGTAGTACGGCCGCAAGAGCCCCTAGTAGCGTCCTTGCTCCTAGTATAGCGATGCCCTTTGTTCCTAGTAGCGTCATGTGGATGATCTGGCGGTGGCAGGTGTAGGGGGCTTTTTTTGAAAATTAGGTGAAGCTGTTGGGAGAAGCTTTTCCTTTTGGTAGCTGGGAATTCGCGCGAGAGAAGAGTGTCAAAATCTATGGATGCGGCATTTTTTAAGTGGAGACTTTCGACACTTGGCTAAATCAAGAATGCTTTGCATTGTCGATGGATGAGATTATTGGAGAGATCTCGAAAAGAAATGGAACATGAATTGGCAACCGCAGCTGAGAAATCCGAAATGAGGAGAGCTTTGGGAGCTTTGAATTGGAGGGCCGTCCAAACAAGCCCTTGGCTACTTTCTACAGTATCGCATTTACTAGGATGTGTGAAGACAGTTGCAGTGCATGATTTGATGGAAAGCAACAAGGCCGTTCGGTGGCAACGTCGATGCAGTCACGTGAAACTGAGTTTCCCTCATCAAGTGAGAGATAGCTTGATTGTGACCTTTTGTGATGCCTCATGGGCTACTAGACGTGATGGCAGTTCTCAAGGGGGTGCTTTAACAGTGTTGATGAACAAAGAAACGCTTAGTGGGAAACTCAATCGTTTTTCTGTGTTGAGCTGGACGAGTCGAAGACCTCGACACGTGGCCGGATCCTCAACGAGTGCAGAATTTCAATTGACAGGAAGCGGACTCGATGAACATGAGTTTATAAAATTCTTGTTTTCTTCACCAAACACCCTGGACATGTGATAGTCTACTTAGTATTCTTGCTTCAGAAGTACCCTGCATTTTGAATGACACCGAAATACCATGCCTTGGAACGTATGCAGACCTGTGCGAAGTGGTGGGCATTCGGGACCGCCTTAGTCAGGCGAACGTCAAGTATCGGTTGGTGTCTGGAAACCAAGCACTTGCTGATGGGTTGACAAAACGCTGAAGGAGCACAATTGATCCAGGCCTTAAACCAAACCGCTTGGAGAATTCCACTGGTTGACCAAAGACCTCATTCCTCAATGATTGGGGCTCAAGACGCGCCCTGATGTTCGGTAGCATTCGCTCACTTAGATCGCTCAGCCATAGCGTGAAACCAGCGCTCTTGTGGTTTCTGAGAAGGGTGGACAGTGTTGTTGCGCAAGGACTCCACTACTAGTAGGTTGGAGGCCATCGCTTCTTTCTTCCCTACGACCACGGTCGAAGCTGGGTGACAGGCGCCATGGCTTCCACCAAGCTGGCCACAACCCCGGAGTGTCCACCACGAGCTGCGAGGTGCAGTGTGAGATTCCCGTCCTGGTCCTTGAGCGGCTTCGAGGTTACAGCGTGGCGAAGGATGCATGGGTGCGTTCCAGGCATAGAAACCTTCACACTACCGAACAATTCAATTATTGAACGTACATCGATAAGCATCGAAGGTATGTTCGAACCAGTTGCTGCAAAACACCAAGTCTTCTCAAATCAGGTTGGTAGCACCCCAATTCCACCACACAGGCCAGTGGCGACAACCCGAAATGTTTGGAAACAAACATGGGCGTGAGAATTAAGTCAGACCTGCACTTTTGATTGGTTGCCCACCCTTGGTCCGCCAAGCATCTCGTTGGTCTAAAGGAGCGAAGGCCAAGAGCAAGGATGCCACCACGGCCCGGTGTCCATTGGAGGCAGCCAAGTGAAATGGCATGTTGCCACCTGTCATGTCCACTCAAGACTCATATCAAGATCATCACTCTTCCATCACCGCAATGAAGGAAGGTGATGCCTTACTCAGTTTGATTGATTAACATCGACCTTTTGTTCCCCAGATTGACATGTGGGGTTTTTGTTGTTAGTGCTGTATCCGCTCCTCTCCTCCTTCCCTCCTTCCTCCCGCCCACCGCCCAACAAACAACATCCACCAACAACATCTACCAACAACCACCACCAACAACAACCACCAACAAATCCACCAACAACAACTACCAACAACAACTACCAACAACAACAACCACCACCACCACCAACAACAACAACAACAACCGCCAACAACAACCACCAACTACCAAGCACCAACCAACCACCACCAACCAACCACCAACCACCTGGCAACAGCCATCGGTGTTATTTGCGTGGCCGGCGCAGCACTTGGGACTGTCCAAGGGGTTGGATGCCACTCTACTCCCTCACACGCTCCCTGGTGTCGAGCCCGGAATGCGAGTCACAGGATAGCAGAAGCATGCCCAGGAGCTCTCTCAACTGGCTGGCAGCGATGAGGGGCTCGCTTCTTCAGGGCATCGGGATGGAGGACAAGCCTGGTGCCATCGAAGCTGTGGGCAGTCCAGCTCCAGGCCAGAGCATCTGGTCGCTGGGTCGCCGCTCTGCCGGTGTGATTTGCGTGGCAGGCGCAGCAACGCCCTGGCGTCCCAACCACCACCAACCGCCAACCAACAACCCCCAACCAGCAACCAGCAACCACTAACCAACCACCAACCACAACCAACCAACCACCACCAACCACCAACCATCACCAACCAACCGCCAACCACCAACCATCACCAACCACCAACCAACCACCACCAACCACCAACCAACCACCAACCAATCACCAACCACCAACCAACCACCAACCAACCACCACCAACCGCCAACCACCACCAACCACCAACCGCCAACCAACCAACCAACCAACCAACCAACCAACCAACCAACCAACTAACCAACCAACCAACCAACCAACCAACCACCACCAACCACCAACCACCAACCAACCACCAACCAACGACCAACCAACCACCAACCAACCACCACCAACCGCCAGCCACCACCAACCACCAACCAACCACCACCAACCACCACCAACCACCAACCAACCACCAACCAATCACCAACCACCAACCAACCACCAACCAACCACCACCAACCGCCAACCACCACCAACCACCAACCACCAACCAACCACCAACCACCAACCAATCACCAACCAACCACCACCAACCGCCAACCACCAACCAACCACCACCAACAACCAACCACCAACCAACCACCACCAACCACCAACCACCAACCAACCAACCACCAACCACCAACCAACCACCAATTGCCTGCTCCTGTGTCTGGTGAAGTGGTTAACATGTGGGGTTAGCCAGTCCTATAATTTTTTGTTTTTAACGGCTTTTCTGTGCCTTGCCTTCGTCCCGTCGCTCCACCGACGCGGAGGCCACCAGCAAGAGGCGCACCGTCTCGCAGTGGCCGTCAGCACAGGCCAAGTGCAAAGGCGTGGCGCCATCGTGGTCGTGCTCATCCAGGGAGGCCTCAAGCTACTAGTAACAAGTGCATCGCTAGTAGTAACAGGTGCCTTACTAGTAGTAACAAGAAGCTACTAGGAACAAGTGCCACGCTAGTAGTAACAGGTGCCTTACTAGTAGTAACAAGAAGCTACTAGGAACAATAAGCTTCTAGCCACCTACTGCACCGACTGCTTCATCCAGGCCGACAATCCAAAACCTTCCGCTGTTTTCTGCTCTGTTTTCAATTCACGGATACACGGCATGTACCACGTTTGGATATGTTTTTTCTGTTGTTTGTTTCAATAAGCGATGGATGGCCTCCAACCTAATAGCGATGCCTCCAACCTACTAGCGATGGCCTCCAACGTAATAAGTGAACTGTATATCAAGAACCTCCAGCTTCGGAAACAACAAACTTTGTTCTCCGAGTCTCCTAGATTTGGCGCCTGAAACTTCGATGCCAAGGAGCGCTTGCAAAGACCAGGTTCCGGACGACTTCGCAATGCCCAACACTGGCGGCCAAGTGCAGTGCGGTGTGCTTCTCCCCGCTCTTCTTGTCGATGAAGGCCTCCCGCCAAAATTGCACGGGGTCTCATGTTACCAATTATTTTAATATCTGGAAGCCTTCAATAGACAAAAGAGATTATATAGTCTGGGTGAGGCTGGTCCACCGTTCACTTGCGACGATACTTTTGAAATCACTTGCGACGACGCATGGAGGGTTGCTCGAACGCTGTGCGTGACGTAACAAAATGAACCCCAGGCACACACGCAAAGCATCACCAGCATCATGGATATGGTGGGGTGGAGTGTCCTACGAGAAAATCGGCGTCATAAGCGAACGCCTCACCAGTGAGGCTCAGCGGATACGATGCCTATTTACTGCCACAACCCTAAACCCTGAGTTTCCCTAAACATCGAACCAAATATTAGCGTGAGCTATCCTGCATCCAGTTGCTAGAAGCTTAAGTAACTAAGTAGCTTACTTCCTTACTTGGTTAAAAGGCGCCTACTTAATCAAGCTGGAGCCGGCTAAAAAAACAAAGCGCCCAACCAGTGCCTGTGCATGAATGAGCTGCATCACGACTTCGACCCATCCGTTGGTGGCGGCCATGTGCAACGAGGTGAAGGCCTCCTCTAAGGTCACGGCATCCACTGACGCGGAGGCTCTCAACAGTAGACAAAGACCTGCCGTGCAGACTGCGTCACAGTGAACCAAAGCGCAGCTTAACATGTCACAACACCAAAAAACAGTCGGACATTTTGGGATGAATTGGTGGATGCAACTGTTCCTTGTCCGAAACCATTTAGTTATGCCAAAGCTGTCGCACCAACTCAAAATCATTCTCAAAGCCCCTGTTTGAAAGGGAAACCAAACTACCAGTAGGCTGGAGGCCGTCGCTTCTAGGTTGGAGGCCGTCGCTTCCATTAGAAGCAAAAACAGAAAAGCTAGAAGAGTATCTTTCCTTTTTTTCCTCCATAAGGGTCGGTTTCTTTTTGTAACGCCTGGATTCAATGTTCTCACTCACTATCTCTTTTAAATCGCGTCTTCATGGAACCAACACCTACATACATTCCTTTATCATACAATGGTACTATCGTTTGTACAATTCCCACTGCCGATAAGATTCATATCGTATAAACGAACCCTACCTTGAAAGTAAAGGTCCTCTCTTCATACAAAGGACGCTACTTTGGATATTATTGTTTAAAAAAGCTATGTTCTGCAAGGCTTCATCTACAACCAACAACTTATCCAAGAAGGGAGAAGCGACGCTTTAGGCAAAGGGTGACCAGAATCAAAGAGCAGTACAATGTCACGTACATTGCAACGATAGCCACCAATCAACCCGTCTGTGTCTGGTCTAGCTCCTTCTATTGTTTTTGGTTTAAGTTATTTTTTAAAACTAAACATAAAGAGAGCTCAGCAAGAAACACGCGCCTTAAAAGGGCAAAAGCAATTAAGATTGCTAGATGTCAATGAATTGCACCGAACTTTGGACACACCAATGGGTCAAGATTCCTGGGCCCCTTCCACAAAACCATCAATTAAACATCGAACAACCAGTGACAAAAAACAAATGAAAATAGCTAACAACAAAAAACACTCACCACAAATGTCTCTACTTGTAAATCCTTGCTTGGACAGACCTCTACCTAGCAGTTTGTCCTGGACAACGGCAGAAAACTTTGGAAAGACACGCAAAAAAGTCAACTATTCCTGAGGGGTCTTGGGCTAAGCGGGAGGGTGGCCTACAAGAAAAACGAAAAACCAACAGCCCAACAGCCCAAATACCAATTCCCGAAAGGTCTTGAGGCTGGCAAAGGGCTCCCGGAAGAGTCCGTCCTTTTTGTTTTCTTTTTGGCCGTCCGTTCGTTCGTTCCTAATAGCGTCCTTGCTACTAGCAGCGATGCCAGGAGCCCCTAATAGCGTCCTTGCTCCTAGTAGTAAGGCCAGCAGCCCCTAGTAGCGTGTCTTTTTTGTATTTTTTTCCTTCTTTTATATGTTTTGTCTGCGCTGTGGAGAGCGGCCCCTCCAGGCCAGCTTGTTGATTTGTGCAACCTACGAAAAAAGAGGGGTCCATGCAACCTCAGATTCAAAACGAACGATCAGGATTCTAGATGTGGACACTATTGAACATGCACATTTTTGAGGGATAGAAGCGATGATACAATTTCACACACATATGGGTCAGATCTTATGTGAACAGTTCATCTCTAGGTCTTATGTCGGTCATGCATGTTTTGCAGTTTCATATACATTATCCATGCCATACTGTATGTCTAACTATTGCATCGCTTGAATCACCAAATCCCTGAAAGGCAACACCCCCGAGCTAAAGCCATAGGCCCACCCAACACAATTCACAAAAGCACCCACAACGTTGCTAAAAGTCTAGGAACCAAATGATAGTGCGAGCACTTCCTTGAAGAAGCGTGAGCTATCCTGTGTAAAGTAGCTTACTAGTAGTCCCTTACTTAATTAAGTAGGCGCCTACTTAATTAAGTAGGAGAGAGGCAGGGAGGGGAGCGGGCTAAAAGAAAATAGGACCTGACACAGTGCGGGCAGATTTCAGGGATTGTTCCTGTCCGCTCCTTCGACATTGCCCGCCGATGCTGAGAGGTGCAGGGGCGTGTATCCAAAGACATTCGCCACGTTGGGATTTGCACCTTGAGCAATATATCCATCCTTGGAAGAGGCACTTTCAAGTGCTGCCTAGGACACTCCTTACTAGTGATACATGTGGCTGTGCACGGTCTTTTGCAAACAAACACTGCCACGGGTGCCTCAACTACTTGGACAACTTCATTTGTCCTCTGAGGGTCAGAGTTTTCAAACCGCGGCCAACACTCTTCAACCATCTTACATCACGTTTGAAATAACATTTCCAAGCAGTTATGAGCAGTTGATGGCAGGTTTTCTCAGCCTTCTTTCTGCGGATCAACGAGTGCAAAAATTGGTTTCCAGCAGGAGAGTACATTCATTAAAAAAGCTAGGAACCAAATCATTGAGTGCAAGCGAGCGCTTGATCAAGCGTGAGCTATCCTGTGTCCGACCTAGTGGCTTATTAATTAAGTAGGGAGGCAGGGCCTCGGGTCAAAAAAAGGGATTGTCTGCTCGGAGAAGCTTCGAGTATGAGAAGCTGAATGAGACAGAAACGTTTTGCATGATTTCCTTTCACGTTGCCAAGTTCTGTCTTAACGCCATAGTGAATGCAACAAACATTGGCAATGCTAGCCGCTAGCTGATTCTGATTATCACAAGGTGGTTCCCTTTGGTTCTGCGATGACACAGTCAAAAAAGGGCCCAAACTCAGGTCATCACCAGGCTTCCAGCATTTGGCATCTCCAAGCAGGGCTGTTGTAAGTATCTTAAGGGAGACACCCCAACCAATGGTACTGGCCTCCAACCTAGTAGCGATGGCCTCCAACCTAATAATCTGAATTCTATTTCAGCCAAGTTCAACACCCTCAACATCAAGGTCAAAGCAAAGCTACGACTTCATGGCGTTGCTACAGCTCGGGTGTCTGAGAATCTGAAAGCTGCACCTTGTTACTAAGGAGCATTCTTGTACTAGGAGCAAAGGGCATCGCTACTAGGGGCTCCTGGCCGTACTACCAGGAGCAAGTAGCTATTAGCTTATTGTTTCTACTAGCTTCTTGTTACTACTAGTAAGGCACTTGTTACTACTAGTGATGCACTTGTTACTACAACCGAGCGTCAATCGCGGATCCACCACCACAATTCCACGCCGCCAGACGCAGCTTCCGATCCAAGGCGGTCAGGGGTGGGGCCGCGTGTACCTGAGTCCCAATAAGAATACCAGGCTACTAGTAGCTCCTTGTTCCTAGTAGTGATGCCAGGAGCTACTAG